GCACCGGCTCGATGAGCTCTCTGACTCCGTCAGTATTGATGATCCATGAGATCGATCCGACCGTGAAGATCTGGCCGGGCTATGGGAGGGACGAAGAGCCCACAAAACGTACCATCTTGTTTGACATGGAAATAGCACGCACACCCCTACCTAGTGCCAACTGTCGATAGAATATCATCGGCAGTCCTCCGAGGAGTATCCCACGAAGGTAGATTGATCGGCAGAGATGAGTGTAATCGAGAACAAGAAGGCAACAGAGACACACGAGTTAGACAGGTTCGAACCGTTAGCGAGACGTAATACCCTGCTCCTATGGTCTATTGGATTGTATTGGCTATTGTATGATATTGCGTGCGTTTGGAGGGGTCCCTGCCCGTCTTATATAGTCCGGGGGGCAGGGTTACAAGTCGGTTAGATCTAGGAGATAACCGAAAAGTAATAACAGATTACATTAATCATGGGATCATACGTATCCTAACAGATCTCGTAGTATCTTCAGGATATCTTTCCGGTGTCTTACGGGACGCGCCGAGCAGCGTTGTGCCCCGCAAGGCTTCGTCTTGTGGGCTGGGCCACCCCTATGGGCGCAGCCCATGTGGTCTGCCAGGGGTATCCGGGGTCGTACCCCCCACAATCATCTAACTGAATAGAAGCTAAACCTTTGAAGGAGGATAACAACTTAAGTATGTCCCTCCACCAGAAAGAGGCTCTCTATATTGACACTGGTAATTGACCACTGGAATAAAATTTCTACCAAATAAGTTTCACCCAAGGTATTTCAAGTCTATTGTAGAACTTATGCAAGTGCTTCATCAGTAAGCTTTCATTATGTTTCTTGGAATCAAGTACCCCTAAACAACACCCCCTCATCCTTGGGTAAACATACCATAGGCCAAGTAGCTTTAGGCTCCTTTTGGAAGCAATGGAGAGCAAAACCCATGGATGGAAACCCCCCACTAAGAACTAAGATAATATCTAAAATGATATCCCCATGGATTTTTCACCCCAGGAAAAGTCCGGGATCCTGGAGGGATTGGAGTTTCCAAATTAGGCCTTAGGTGGTTTTTTGTTATTGATGTCATTGCCACGCCAAAGGCAGTGCTTCCTCAATTTGTCAAGCTGCTTGATAACTGTTTTAGTGAGAAGATATGTGCACATAGTGAAGGTTGGTAGAGCAGTGAAAACTACATTAGAGAGCTCCAACCGACCTACTTGACTTAGAAAATTGGATGTACTAGCAAGCCTCCTTTCACATCTAGAAACTAAGGGCCCGAAGTCCACCACCCGAGGTTTTGTCAAACTCAATGGGAGCCCAAGATAAGTGAAGGGCAGACTTCCTTTAGAACACCCAAAGGTATTAGCCAAAATATTGAACCTGTCATCGATACATCAATAGGGACCACCATAGATTTTGTAAAGTTGACCTTGAGGCCCGTAGATTCTGTAAAGGAATTCAATAAAACCTTGAGAAAGAACAACTGCCTGGCACAACCTTGCATGAAAATCAAGGTATCATCAACATACTGAAGTACTAGGAAGTCTTGACAATGATTGAGTGGTAGTGGAAGAGCAAGAAGGCCCTGATCTTTGACAACATTCAAAAGGGACCACAACAAATCAGCTGCCAGCACAAACAAAAGTTGTGACAGGGGTCACCTTGCCTTACACCACGCTTGCAACGGAAAACCTTGCCAGGGACACCTACGATATCTTTATTACTATACTACTACTGAATGCAAAGATAACAAAGATGTCAAGAATCTGAATGCTTTTGCTTTTGACGAGTTAGGAAAGAATTTAAATGGTTCAAGAATCTAGGCAACGAGGGACGAGTCCATCCCTAGGTGAAATATTTCTCCTAGATCCGACCGACCCATGTCCCTCAAAATTGAGGGGACGGGGTTGTCCCCAGTCGTCGTCGTCACTTCTTCATCTCATGTCCTTCTTCGTGCTCAAGCTACCGGATGCGACCTTCTTCGTAGAGCTCCTCATTGTGCTGTTTTCTTCGTCGAGGTCCGAGCTGTGTCGTCTTCTTCGTTGAGCTCCCGACGACACTATGGCATCTCCTTCTCAGATGGAAAGGAGTTGGGAGACGCAGGAGGGCGGCCCTTGGGGAGGCGCGGGCGGTACAGGGGCACACCTGACCGAGGGCGGTGCGAGTTGTTGCGATGGCGTGCCGGTCGAGGGTGGCATGGCTCGTGGCAACAACCACCAGGCTAAGTAGGGCGCAGCCACGCGGTGAGGGCGGCGCGGCCCTGGGGCAAAAACGATAAGGCCCGTAGTGCATGAGTGGTGCGAGCACAGGACAAGGACGACCCAACGCATGTGGTGCTCGTGGCGGCGGTGTGATGGCTCGGTGGAGCAGATGTGGCTAACATGTGGGCCCTTTGAGTATCAGTGACTAACGGTGTAAAAAACACCATCCATCCCATGTAGTCTAATCCCTCCAACCAAACTATAAATTGGGACGATCACATCCCTTTCAACCAGACAAGAGCTGGGATGGTCCCATCCTAGACGTCAACGGATTCATTCCATTGCACGTCGCCTCCAAACCAAACACATGTGAAGTGAAGGTTCCATCTGGATTGGGTACAAGTTGGATACTAATTTTGATCAAAAGGGAGGAGAAAAAGCCCACGATGAATCAATAACCCAAAACTAAATTTGTTTTTTCTATCATAGCACAGATGCAGAATACATTTACGTATTGAACCTACAATGAACTAATTTTGCATTTCCTCGTATGTGTGGAACCCGTGACAAAGTAAAAGAAATATAGTATAAAAAAAGATAAAATTGTTTCCTTGGGCTTGACTAGGGGGGCAAAATGCACTACGGGAATCAGTGGCTTTACCGAGTGCCAGGGGCACTCGGCAAAGCCCAATTTACACTCGGCAAAGGTTTTGCCGAGTGCTGCACTCGGCAAAGAACACTCGGCAAATAACCCGTCGGCAAAGGCGTCTTTGCTGAGTGTCTTTTGTCGGGCACTTGGCAAAGCCTTTGCCGAGTGCCGACACTCGGCAAAGTTGAATCCGAAAAAAAACCCGAAAAAAATTGGAATTTTTACCAAAAAAAAATGGATTTTTTTTTATCAATGGACAGCACCCACCCATCTCCGACATTTTTCGCGTGAATTTCATGGCTATGCGGCCGACGCGATTCGAACCTGAGACCTCCCGCTGTGCACGTACCTACTCTACCACTACACCACATTCTCACTTGTGTCTGGATTCTGTTTTAGTTCCCAATATATTATACTAAACCGAGTGTAAATTGCATGTTTGAGGCCCTAAAAGAATTTAAATAAAAAAGTTGTAAACTACAAAGTTTCATAACTTTTCGAGATCAACACTTTTAGTTTAGGAAATTTTTCCATCCGAGGTCGTTTACAAAATTTGAATTTTAAAATTTTGAAATTCAAACGCAGTTTTGCATGACAAGATGTTTTCAAATCAAAAAGTTGTCAACTACAATATTTCATAACTTTTCGAGATCTACAGAGTTTATTTTGGTTGTTTTTTCATCCGAGGTCGTTTGAAAAGTTCGAATTTTAAAATTTTGAAATTCAAATGCAGTTTTGCATGACAAGATGATTTCAAATCAAAAAGTTGTCAATTACAAAGTTTCATAACTTTTCGAGATCTACAAAGTTTATTTTGATTGTTTGGTCATCTATTCATCCGACATGGTCGTTCTAACATTGTTCACAAATCTTATATATCTCTCTTATAGTTTCATAAACTACAAGAGAGATATGTTAGATTTGTGAACAAATTTACTTTCACTTTGTCATATGAAGAAAAGACCAAAATAAACATTGTACATCTTGATGAGTTATACAACTTTGTAGTTGAAAACTTTTTCATTTGAATTAATTTACTGCTTCAAAAATATGCTTTGAAATTTTCTTTGCCGAGTGTCAAAAAAATAACACTCGGCAAAGAAGCTCTTTGCCGAGTGTCAAAAAAATAACACTCGGCAAAGAGCCTCTTTGCCGAGTGTCAAAAAAAAACACTCGGCAAAGACGGCTTTGCCGAGTGCCCGAAAAACAACACTCGGCAAAGAGCCGGTCTCCGATAGTGATGGTCAGCAAGAAAACCCTTACTTTATACTTTAAAGGCATCAATTTTAAACATTTGGCCCATTGAAGCAACATCAGTCATATATCACCGCTCACAACATGGTGAAAAAGAATAAAGGAGCAACTAGCTCCTAAGCAAAATGATTGTGGCAAGACTGGCACTGCACCGCAACCGGAGCTGTCTATTGATCGATGCCGTTATGAGTTTATGACTCTCTAGGCTTACGGCCCAAAGGTGCTGCAAGTTGTTGCTTTGACAAGAGGTTAAGAGTCTGGTTCATTACCTTTTGGTAGTCATTACTCATTAGTGACACAACCTGGGTGATAGATAAAATGCCCGTCACTTTTGAATGTAGCACCAACCTGTCTAGTATCTGTTCAAGACCCGTCGGTGAAGACGATGCCAACCGTCCGTCTCCAGTGCCAACGGTTGAAGCCTGTGCGCGCGAACTGGACACCTACCAACCGGTCAAGCGTAACAAACTGAAGTGTGTACTGTGTACGTACTCCATGATAAAATGCAGGCTCCTCAGTCAGCAAACAGAACTAACTGCTGCAATCCTAGCGAAAAATAATTAGTGGGCGAGTTCTCATTTTCCCCATTGCCAGGCGGAAGAGGAGGTGATCGGCAATGTCAGCGGGCGGCAGGAAGAAGACGGCGTGCGTGACCGGAGGTAACGGGTACATCGCCTCGCTGCTCGTCAAGATGCTGCTGGAGAAAGGCTATGCCGTGAAGACGACTGTCAGGGACCCCGGTTCGTTCCGTTCTTCTTCTTCCCTAGTTTCCACACATCAGCGTGAACGGTTGCAGTTTCTTGTGATCCCATGACAAAACGGGATAAGAACTGTTGACAGTGACTGGTCGTTTAGGATCTGAACGTGCTGTGTATCACTGTACTGTGTTTGTGAACAACAGATGACATGGAGAAGAGCTCCCACCTGATGGAGCTGCAGGCGCTTGGCCCCTTGGAAGTCCTCCGCGCCGACCTGGACGACGAAGGCAGCTTCGACGATGCAGTCGCCGGCTGCGACTACGCCTTCCTAGTCGCTGCTCCGGTGAACCTCCATTCCAAGAATCCTGAGGTGCACAAACGTCACCACTGCCTACTTGTCACTTTGTCAGCACACTTCTCTCCGATCTGGTATGGCACCCATAATGTGGTTTTCACCTGCTCAAATGTGGTGGTGGTGACTGATGACAGAAAGAACTGATCGAGCCTGCTGTCCGAGGAACCCTGAACGTCATGAGGTCGTGCGCCAAGGCTGGGACAGTGAAGCGCGTGGTTCTGACCTCGTCGGCGGCCGCAGTCTCCGGCAGGCCGTTGCAAGGCAGCGGGCACGTTATGGACGAGGAGTCCTGGTCCGACGTCGAGTACCTCACTGCCAACAAGTCCGGTCCCTGGGTAATAGCACACAACTATACTACACACATAAATGTCTTGTCTTGTCCTGTCTGTCCCCGTTCTCGTTCGAAACTGAATGTTCAAGTCCAGCAGATGGCCATTTTTCCCAACACACATAAATAGTGTTCGTTCCAGTCCTGAATGATGACGAGCATGGCCATGGCACCGTGCTTGCATTGCATGCATCGCAGGGGTACCCAGTCTCCAAGGTGCTCTCGGAGAAGGAGGCGTGCAGGTTCGCGGAGGAGCACGGCATCAGCCTCGTCACCGTCTGCCCCGTCCTCACCGTCGGCGCGGCGCCTGCCACAAAGATCCACACGAGCGTCCCCGCCAGCCTCTCCCTGCTATCCGGTTGCTTCCAAAATTCCCGTGTCCCTTCTCTTCTCCACGTAGAGCTTTGCACTGCACTGCATGTCATCATGTCATGGTTCCCCAAAACTTGCAGGCGACGAAGCAGCGTTCGGCGTGCTCAAAGGCATCGAGATGGCCACGGGCTGCGTGTCGCTCGTTCACGTTGCCGACCTGTGCCGTGCCGAGATGTTCGTCGCCGAGGAGGACGCGGCCGCCGGGAGGTACGTCTGCTGCAGCGTCAACACCACCATCGTCGAGCTCGCCCGTTTCCTGGCGGACAAGTACCCGCAGTACACCGTGAAGACGGATCTGCTGTAAGAATCGGCAGGCTTTCACGTACAGCTCTGGGATTCTGGAACAACATATATATTTTGCACGGGACAGGTCAGTGATCGAATGCTAGCGCGTGCTTTGCAGGTGCTCCGACGAGGTCCTTCGGAAGCCGAGAGTGAGCCTGTCGTCAGCGAAGCTGGTCAGCGAAGGGTTCGAGTTCAAGTACGAGACGTTGGGCCAGATCTACGACGACGTGGTGGAGCACGGCAAGGCCCTGGGGATTCTGCCCAACTGATACTTTTCCTTTGCAATTGTCTTCCATCTATGACCCAGAAGCGATCGAGAGCACCAAATAAAATAAAAATGAAGGTTTTTTTTGCGACTTAAATAAAAATGAAGTTGGGAAATAAATTTGCTTTGTGTCTGTACATGTACGCTACCTCAACTGTAGAGGTTCAGTCATTTGGCTCTGCGTTTCTGTGTTCCTGCATTTCTTATAAGGCAATAACTTGTGGAACAAAAACTTGTATTGAAGCGTCTGGGCGGATATGGGCCTTGGGCCACCAGATTCATGGCCCTAGGCGTGGCCCAAGATATCCCTTATAATATTTTTACGTTTTCTGGCCCAATCTGAAGTGACCGTAGTTATTGGGTCAAAATCACTACACTCTCAGTCGGCCCAGAGGAGCAGGAACGCTTCCCTTCCCGTCTCCCCGATCCCGAAATGGGGAGACCCAATTCTTCGACTCACGGGCTCACGTGCGGGCGTGCGGCGCAATCTCCTCTGTCTGCTCGGTTCCTTTTCGGCACACACGGCGCCATCCGGCAACAGAGCAGAGCATCATCGCCTAGTGCAGTAGTGCCTCATTTGCTAGAGGAAGTAGATCGCACGTCTCTGCCTGAAAGTCCTCAATGTCTTGTCCTAAAGATTACAGAGTACTTTGTGGACGTTAGTTTTTTTTTTTAATGAAACGTGGACGTCAGTTTCATCCCCTACTTCTTGTGTGGTGTCTAAATAGCGATGGCCCCCGACATTCACAAGCCACCAAATCCACGACGACGGGTCTCAGTGTCAGTGTTCCCTGCCGTGAGCTAGTTGTGAGCCCTGTTTCGCTTTTCATGAGAGGGAGGTGGTGACCGGCGTAAGTACAACGATGGCGGACGGAGACATGAAGAAGACGGCGTGTGTGACCGGAGGGAACGGGTACATCGCCTCAGCGCTCATCAAGACGCTGCTGGAGAGAGGGTACACCGTGAAGACGACGGTCAGGAACCCCGGTTTGATGCTTTGACCTTCCCCTTTAGTTCATCAGTCTCGTTCCGTGGCCGTTCCTTTTCATCGACAGAGAATATCTTTAGCGAAGATGACAAATACGTTCAAGAATCTGAATGCTTTTGCTATTGAGATGTAAGGAAAGAATTTAGATTTGTAATTTCGTTGCCTCACAGTAATGATGAAATTCTGATTTCTGTTTTCCGTTGTCGAAAAAATAGATAATGGAATGAGGTTCCAACTTCGGAAAGAATTTAGATGGTTCAAGAACATGAATTTTAAGCTAAAGGTGTACTGGTGATAGATGGCAGTAATGCGTTTATATAGTCTGTGCGAGTGGTTTATTGTGATTCCGATGAATCCCAGATGACATGGAGAAGAACTCACACCTCAAGGACCTGCAGGCTCTCGGATCCTTGGAGGTCTTCCGCGCCGACTTGGATGAAGATGGCAGCTTTGACGACGCCGTCGCCGGCTGCGACTACGCATTCCTAGTCGCCGCTCCGGTGAACCTCCACACGAAGAACCCTGAGGTGAACAAACGTCACAGCTACTCGAGTTCCATCTCTCGTTTGTCTAGTACTTGCTGACGGCATCTGTTCATACTGTTCATCAACGTTCATCCCTTGCTGAATTGGATTTGTGATGGCAGAAAGAACTGATCGAGCCCGCTGTCAGAGGAACTCTGAACGTCATGCAGTCGTGCGTGAAGGCCGGGACGGTGCGGCGCGTCGTCCTGACCTCGTCGGCGGCCGCGGTGTCCAGCAGGCCACAGCAACCATGCATTTGCTGACGACGAGGACTCCTGGTCTGACGTCGAGTACCTCAGAGCCCACAAGCCTGCAGGGCCCTGGGTACGTCGTACGACGCACGTCAGTCCATGCATTTGCTGACGACGAGAAGTTGAGAACGACGGCGCTGCTGGATGTGCTTGCTTGCATTGCAGGCGTACCCGGTGTCCAAGGTGCTCCTGGAGAAGGAGGCGTGCAGGTTCGCGGCGGAGCACCGCATCAGCCTCGTCACGGTTTGCCCCGTCGCCACCGTCGGCGCGGCACTGGCACCCAAGGTCCGCACCAGTGTCCCAAACTGCCTCTCCCTTCTATCCGGTGAGGCTCAAGGCGACGAGGTTTGGTGTGGATGGCACACATGCATATGGTGGTCATGTGGTACCATTTTCAGGCGACGAGGCAGAGTTCGCGGTGCTGGACGCCATCGAGAGGGCCACTGGGTGCGTGCCGCTGGTCCACGTCGCCGAGGAGGACGCGGCCGCGGGAGGTACATCTGCTGCGGGCTCAACACGACCATCGCCGAGCTTGCGCGTTTCCTCTCGGATAAATACCCGCAGTACGGCGTGAAAACGAACCTGCTGTAAGAAAGAACCGGCTTCGCAGCTCTGGATTCTGACGAAATCTTTTGCACCGATGACTGACCGATACCGTTTGGCTGCACTTTTGCACGCAGCTCCGGCGAGCGGCTTCAGAAGCCGAGAGTGCGTCTGTCGTCCGAGAAGCTGGTGAGGGAAGGGTTCGAGTTCAGGTACAGGACGCTGGATGACATGTACGACGACATGGTCGAGTATGGCAAGGTCCTGGGAATCCTGCCCAACTGATGTGGTGCTCCTCTGCTTTCGGCTGGCGATCGGGAACCCTCCTGCAGAACAAGTCTAGTAGGAGTATGCTACAAGTGTGCTGAACCGTATACGCTGAGGTTCTGGACCTCTGTCACGTTAGAGGGCAAAATAAGTGCAGTTGGTTTGAACTCTTTCGGCGACAATTTGTGGGATTCATCGTGGGCAGAAATCATTCAAAAGTAGTTCAATCGCTGACGCCATTTTCCAGAAAGAAAGAGATTTGTTCATACGATTAAAACTAGTATTGGTGACCAAAAAATTGTCATTATAAACAATCATTTGTGTCACGACAAAATGTCTTTATGCTATGCATTTTGTTTTTCCTATTTTCTTGTCGTGATTTTTTGTTGCCACAACATAAACTTTCTCACTCCCATAAATTCCTGTTGGTTTGACACCATGCAAACATGGCTAGCAGGCAAAGCATTCTTAAACATGGCTAGATTCAAATTTGCTGCCCTGGGTTCAATCCAAACAGCCCTGCATTAGAATGAAGTTTGCAATCCCATCCTAGCATAACAAAACCTAATTTTCAAAAAAAAACACCAAATTCAAGGGAAAGACCACCCACAATATTGCATTGAGGGAAAAAAATTGGGTACGGGACTCCCATACGTGGAAAAAAAATTGGGTACAGGACTCCTGTACGCGGCACCGTGCAGCTGCCCACTCAGATGACGACGTGTGGCAGGCTTGGCAAAATTGGCTCGGCGGGCTTGCAACTGAAGATCCACATATTTGTAGGTTCACTGGGCAGCCACAGTGCCACGTATGGGAGTCCCGTATCTAAATTTTTTTCTGCATTGAGAAGCTCTCATGCAGGGGGAAAAAAGAAGAGAAGAAGACCGGCTGCCTTAGTGCCTTGGACGTGCCACCTAGTTCCCGTGAGCCATGATACATGTCTGTGGCCATGTGGGTCTCGCTGAAAGCGACATACTCAGAACCAGGTTTAACTCAGAACCATAGCCGATGAGTAGAATTTTTAACTTAGAATTTTTTAAATTGGCTCCCACGAAAACACGAACCCAAGAAATATGGTGCTACTTGGGCCCTGCTAACCAGCCTCAGCTAGCAAACATGTTCGCAAACCAAATTTCTCGGTAGAATGAGTCCAGAACATTAACAACAAAAGAGCATGAGAGGATAGAATACGTTTCTACGTAGTTAGAAAGGCATTGGGGAGAAAGTAAAGGATCTAGAAGATGATAGAAACACAGCGTGGCCAACCAAAACAATGTTTCAGCCCATATCCGGCTTGTTCGGCTTCTTTTTTCAGCCGGAACAGTATTTTTCTCTCACAACATTTCAGCCAGAATAGTGTTTTCAGTCAATTTCAGTCAAGTTTCAACGAGCCGAACGGGGCCATGATGAAACATATCGCAGCCCTACAAGATCCTAATGGCCTTGTTGAGGACAATCCAGGGATATTCTAGAGAGTGGCTGATTTTACCGAAGTCATTAGGACCACACAGGTGAGGTATGTCTTGCACCTAACTTTTGGAATAGCGAGGAATGGAATAAAATTTTCTACGACACTGCCTCACCCGGTGGCTTGTGCGAAGGAATAGATGATTGACACGTGGAACCACATGCAGATCGTGTGGAGAGCTGAGTCCTCCTGAGTTGAGTCCACCCGAACTGCTCAACCAAACAGAGGCTGCGGAGCTACATCAAGCAGTTGGATCGAGGTTCAGGACATGTGGCAGCAATCAGGGCAGTGTCGCGCAGGCCACCGGGTGAGGCGGTGTTGCAGAAAATTTTATTCTGCGAGGAACTAGCAATAGCAACAGCAGAGGAAAATGCTTGTTAGAAAACCCTTCACTGAGGAGAAAGAGCAACTCCAGCATGGTCCTCAAACAGACCTCTGAACTTTAATTTTAGGCTTAGACAAAAAAAAACAGTCTAACAGGTCCCTACTAGAGCCTTCAAATCACCCCTGCCCTTATTCTCGGGACTCTCCACCTAGCCCTTACTTAGCCGTGGAGCTATCTCCCACTCGTGGCTCCTCCCCTCCCTAGGTTGAGATCATGCTCCCTTGATAGATCTCCCTCGGCCCACCACGGCTCTCCTCTCTAGTGAGTTCCCTCATCTTCCTGGCTCCTCTCCTCCCCGGTGTGGTCCCCCTGGCTACTCATCTTCGGTGACCCCGACCGTGTTGCTCTTCTCTTCATCAAGTTTCCTCGGTCGTGCGGCTTCTCTCCTCCCGGCGAGGTCCTGATGCTCCTCCCCATTGACCCAAAGACCTCGGCCACGTGGCTCGTCTCCTCCATGGAGATCCCGATGAGGTCCCCGTTCACTCCTCCCTAACTCCTCACAATCGCATTCCTGCCGACCAAGTGGCCCCTGGCCACTACTAGCCAGCTGCCAGCCCCAACCAGTTGCAGCTAGGTCAACGGTGGCTCGGGCTTGGTCAATGTTGGTTGTGCACCGGCGATTGGCAACTACAAGTGGCTAGTAGGAGGCTATGGTAGTTGAAAGGATCAAGATGTCCAAGAGGGGGGTGAATTGGGCTAATTCTAAATTTCTTTGCAATAATTAAATCCTACGGTTAGCCCAATTAACCCCTTGTGCCTAAGAAGTGTTTCTAGTTGTTCTACCGCACAAATGACTTGCAACCTAAGTTCTAATCCTACTCTAGCATGGTAATTCTATGAATTGTAAAGACAAGAATTGAATTGCTCAAAGTAAATACTCAAAGTAAATGCTCAAAGAAAATAGAGAAGGAGGAACGCGGCGATGTTTTGCCGAGGTATCGGAGAGTCGCCACTCCCCACTAGTCCTCGTTGGAGCACCCGCGCAAGGGTGTAGCTCCTCCTTGATCCGCGTAAGGATCAAGTGCTCTCTATGGGTTGATTCTTCGACACTCCGTCGCGGTGAATCACCCACAACCGCTCACAACTTAAGTTGGGTCATCCACAAGCTCTCCGGATGATCACCAAGCTCTCCAATCACCACCAAGCCATCTAGGTGATGGCGATTACCAAGAGTAACAAGCACGAACTCTCACTTGACCACGACAAGCCTGGGGAGAAAGATGGATGCACACTTTGCTACTCTTGATCTCACTAATGAGGGCTCTCTTTGGGATTCTCAAATCTCAATCATCTCACTAGGACCTTGCTCTTCTTGACATTCACAAATGTGTTTCTTAGCTGTTGTAATGAGCAAAAGTAACTCCATACACGAGTGGAGCTTCTATTTATAATAAGGGCTGAAAAACGAACCATTATGTGCCTCTGCAGGGTGATCGGACGCTCCGGTCATGTTGACCGGACGCTCCGGTCAGTACACCCCGAACTTCAGTGATCACAGTGTGACCGGACACGTCCGGTCACGATTTTCCCTCTCTGGAACCTTACTGGAAACGACCGGACGCAGGCTCTCAGCGTCCGGTCACTTGACCTTTCAGCGTCCGGTCGCACCGAACGATTTCACCTCGGTCAAATGAACTGACCGGACCCTGAGCCAGCGTCCGGTCAAACCGGAGCCAGCGCCCGGTCAGTATTTGACCCTCCATTCACTTCCAACTCTCGATCATATGTGAATGAAGTTTGCTCCAATGGATTTTAGGCATATGTAGGAGCTACCTAGTGCTAGTTTCAACAAGTGTGCACCACACCTAACTTACTAGACTCATCTAGGTCAAGCTACCCGTCTATACCCCCCCTTAATAGTACGGTCAAAGGAAAAACAAGGTCCTAAACTACTCTAAGTGTCTCTCCAACTCCAAACGACACTTAGAACTAGTCCATCCTTAACCTTGTCGTCCATCCTTCAAGAACCGAAACGATTTCCATCGTAGGGGCATGACAACCATGATTGCCCAATCGATCTCCATTACCATGACCTAACTTAATTGCTTCTGCAAAACACACGTTAGTCATAGTAATCTTGTATTGTCATTAATCACCGAAACCCAACTAGGGGCCTAGATGCTTTCAGTAGTCTAGGGTTTGCCAAGGCTTGTTTTCAATTGTTACGTAGTTGTTGGTAATATGAGCATTCATAATTCACTCGTGAAAAAAGAATTTGATGATTTATTATTGGACGATGATGACTATTTCATCATTTCTTGCTGGTCTAGCCCTGCATAGTCATAGGAAACATGCAAGAAATTATGATGGTGCCGTCCCGCAACATAGTCATATATTGAGATAGACAAGGAGGGACGAGGGGATGTGTAAACATGTCATATAATATTTCTTATATATACAAACTAAAAAACTTATTTTAAATCATTGTGTCGTTAGGCATGTTGTAGCCATTCCTGGCCGGCCGTAGCTGGCCATACCGCAGCCATGGGGAGGAGGGAGAGAGCCAGCCATGGGAGGACAAATGATGCAGAAATTGACCCACTGACATGTGGGGTTCCACATGTAAGATAGATAAAGAGTATGTTTTTCTTTTTATTAATATGCTGTAACAATCATCTCCTAAAACTAGAAATCATTTTTTCTTCTTAATCCCCACAAATGTTAAGATTGTCTCCAACAGGTGACCCATAAGGGTACCCAAACCTAAAATGGGTCTCCGACAGTACTGTATCAGCCTGACCTATTTTGGGTGTCTGGAGAGGTATAAACTAAATCTAAGTATTCTATCTTCTGGAGACCTATTTACAGAAAGAGTTCTCTTTTTGGTCTTGTTGTTGGAGAAGATCAAAAATAGATATTGAACCTTTTACATGTAGCGCCATCCAATCATGAAATGGGTCTTATATTTTGGATGTTGTTGTTGGAGATAGTCTAAGAGAAGGCAGAATGAGGATCGAGTGAAGTTGCTCTAATGAGATATGTATGTATGATCAATTTGAAAAGAAATGGCTCAATAATTTGTTAGAGCTCTGAAATGACATGTGAACGTCGATAAAGACAAGAAACACTGACTTGTGAACAGTCAATCGCGTTGTCCACGTTTGCCAATTGCCACTTGGCAACAAGTAACAGCCGACAGAAATCTGCAGAACCTGGCCTACCGCCTTTTTCCACACAGCACAACAGAGAACAGACCCTGTCTCTTCCTCCCTGAAAATTCTGCCGAACGAGCGAGCGAATCCCCTCTTTCCAGCCCGTTGTGAGGTGGCGCTGGCAGCCGGCCATGTCGGCCGGCGACAGGAAGAAGACGGCCTGCGTGACCGGAGGAAACGGGTACATCGCCTCGGCGCTCATCAAGGTGCTGCTGGAGAACGGGTACGCCGTCTAGACCACGGTCAGGAACCCCGGTTGGTCCCTCTTTTCGTTCCTGTTTCTCTGATCAGGCAAAACCTCCAGTGTTGTTGTGCGAAATTTGACAGTAAATTAGAAAGGTTCAGGAATCCGAATGCACCTCCAGTTTTTTCAAATTAATCAACTCGGTGAATGGCAGAAAGAGCTGATCGAGCCGGCCGTCCGAGGGACTCTGAACGTGCTGAGGTCGTGCGCGAAGGAGGGGGCGACGGTGAAGGGGCGTCGGCGGGCTCTGTGTTGTCAGGCCAGAGCTGCAAGGCGACGGCCATGTGCTGGACGAGGAGCCCTGGTCCGACGTCGAGTACCTCACCGGCACAAGTCTGGTCTCTGGGTACACGTGCGGACACGGATCCGTTCAAATTCAGGTTCAGTTCTGCACCCTTCCATGCTCTGAAAGACCGAAACGCACTGTCTGTGTCGCAGGCGTACCCGGTGTCCAAGGTGCTCCTGGAGAAGGCGGCGAGCAGGTTCGCGGCGGAGCACGGCATCAGCCTCGTCACCGTCTGCCCCGTCGTCACCGTGGGCACAGCGCCGGCCCGGAGCGCCCGCCCCAGCGTCCTCAACTGCCTCTCCCTTCTATCAGGCGACGAGGCAGCGTTTGGCGCGCTGAGAGCCATGGAGCTGTCCGGCATGCTGGCGTTGGTCCACGTCGAGGACCTCTGCCGCGCGGAGCTGTTCGTCGCCGAGGAGGCGGCGGCCGCGGGGAGGTACCTCTGCTGCGGCCTCAACACGACCATCCTCGAGCACGCACGTTTCCTGACTGAGAAGTACCCGCAGTACACTGTGAAGACGAATCTGCTGTAAGAATCCGCTTTCGCCGAGCTCTCAACTCTGACAGTTGCTTTACACTGGCGAACGAACGAACGATGGCTAGTGATTTATGTGCTTCCGCTTTGCCTGCAGCTCCGGCGAGCTGCTTGAGAAGCCGAGGGTGTCTCTCGTCCGCGAAGCTGGTCGAGGAAGGGTTCGACTACAAGTACAAGACGCTGGATGGGATGTACGACGACATGATCGACTACGGCAAGACCTTGGGGTTCTACCCAAATTATGATGGGCCTCACTAATTACTAATTAGAGAGTGCTTGTTTAGGAGATCTTCAAATGAGCCATTTTCAGACAACCAATTTACAACATTCACTTTCTCCAACATGTCCCTCTTTTCATCACGGGATCTTTTCTGGTGCCCTCTGCTCGGCGTGGACCACTTCCCCTTCACTTTATGGAATCAGCAATCAAACAGAAAAATTTATATGTAATAGAATTTTAAGTATCAGCAATCATTGAATATACCTAATATTCCAACTGTCTTTTGTTTTACTTCTCACGATATCCTCACGTCTCTTCCTGTCTCATATGTGACTATGCTGCTTAATCTATTTCTAATACTAAAGTCAAAAGTGGATCTTTCAACTATTATATTTTAGCCATGTTTGGTAGAGCAGTAAAAAATGCTTCTTTAAGAAGTTGCACAAATGAAGTAAAAGCACGGAAAAAAAAAGAAACTGATATTATCTGGTTTGTGTTCTAGTACAAATGGAGTGGGGAGAATCGTAGCCAGAAAAAGCTCAAATAATGTGTCATCTCGCTTTTATTCTCAGCTTATTTTGCTCATAAGTAGCATATAAGTTGTGCTCTTTATTTCTCACAATTCGCGCATTTGCGCACCTCTCTGTCCCATCCTTGACATGTCGTATGTCGCGTTGTAATGTACGAGTATGTTTGCTAGTCTATATCTAATACTAAAGTAGCAGTGTGTTTCCCGTGGTCCTTTAGTCTCTCCTGTGCCCCTACAAGTTAGTGCAACATGTCAGGTACTAGTATCAGGGCGCGCGTCTTCGCGCGCCCGTGCAGCAGTATCAGAGAGCCACTACATATCTTCCGGATGATTTTTTTTCAGTCCATTAATCAGATTTATATCCAATCATTACATGATGCCTAGTTTCCTGAAAGCAGAGCAAAATCTGGTAGATAAAGGAAGGCAATTACACTCAGATTTTACCGAAAAATAAAACAATAAAGAGTGAATGAAATTACAACAATCGACAACCAGATCTAATCAAATATGCGACCTCCTCACGTGTAGCAACAATTCCACCATCAGCTTTACATGTAAAGAGAGAGAAAATCTTGCAAAAAAATAAGTAAATACTCATTTGACTAAAAGAGATACAAATGAAATGAAAGATAGAATAATCAACATTAATGGAAAATACATTGTTATGGTCACGCTTGATGTTCAAGTTCACGTGATGAGCTCCATCTAAATTTGATATTAAAAAATCATACAGATTACAATTTGCAAAAGCTACCATACTGACAAAACCGAGATGCCAATTACTAAAACTATTTACCTATGTACACAACGAATTAGAGATCAAAAGTACTGAAAAACTAACATGCCGAGATAGCTCCTTCCATTTTTTTCGAACCTACTCACTGAATACTTGTTCTAGCCGCTAATCAAGAAAACCGGTTTGATGCAATCACGATGCATGAGAGAATAGTGAAACCGAGTATAGGCAATCTAATATTAATAAAGCGTAATTTGTCTTGACACAAAAATATTGAAACACCGACACTCAAAAAAACATAATAGAGTATTCACTATTGCATGAAAGTGACCTTCACAATTTTAAGCATCCCGATGCACCATTCCAAACTGCATCACAAAGGTTTCGACTATTTTACTTCTATTTAGTTATTGAACGAGTTTTTTGAAAAGTGAACCAAACTGTAAGTACAAAACACAAAAAAAAAAAGCTGGTAGGCGTAGAGGTTCAAACCTCTTAGCTGCAGTAAGTCACTGCAAAAGGAAAAGAAACCAGTTGCAACCAAATCAAAGGATTTGACTAATATTGTCGTTCTTCTTACCTAAAAGACGGGAAGCACTAACATGGCCATGAAACCGGTACACCCCAACGCAAAAAAATAAGAATGAACTCAAAACTTATTAATCAAACTAATAGCAGCATTTATCTTTTTGAACTAATAGGAACATTAATCGTAGCATGAAAGGGATATCAAATGTTTCTATAGAGTCAATCTTACAAAAAAGAATCAGTGTACAACTCTAAGTAGGAATCAACTCTAAGTCGTCGTTATCCTCGTGACCTGTTTTTTTTGTTGTTTTGGCTCCCCTCATGACCTGTTTTTTTATTGTTTTGGTCCCCACTCATGTGTGTGTACAAATATCTCATCTTAGTAGTTAAGATGAGAAGGAGGATGAGAAGCAACTCATTTGGGAAGCCGCTTCAACAAATCTTTTTGAACCTAGCCTAAAAATATTAGACTTTGCCTTTAGGCGCAAAGACAAAATCGTGAAGACTCATTTGGATGGAGTACATAAAATGTTAGGATGGATGTTTCTTTTGTTAAAAGGAAAAGCTATTTTTCTTATAGCGCAAAGAACCTTCCTTATTCGTAACGATCCCTCTTGTTGATATAATAAGATTAAGGCTATGAAAGCCAACAATGACAAGTATGATATACATACGAAAATGTTTGGGCTATGTCTACATGAATTGTGCTACTTGAGCAGAGACCAAAATTGGAAGCCTCATCATTTTAATATAGCATTCCACTATGGTTAGTTTATAAAAAAAAGAGCATCATCAAGAAGCTAAATCATTTTGTGAAACACAGGTTGGTGGTTGGTGAAAAAATTCAAAGGAGAATACGTAGCATATTTTTTTTTAGTGTGATAGGTTGCATGGAAGTCTCTAAATAACCAATTTCAGATTTGAGCGACGATCTAAAATAAAGGGAACTAACTAAAAAATAGATGTGAAGCATGTATTTTACCTTCGCAGCTTACATCTTGAGGTCGAGTGATCCAAGCGATCCGTGCAATGATGATTCACTTCTTTAGCATTTGAATAGAATTAGAGTTTTCGTAGTCTTTTGACAGGAAAATGAAAGCACGTTCTCAAGTGATATATTGTGCACTCACAGATTGCATAAATCTGTTAGTTTGTGATAGAGCGCAGGTCTAAGCATTGGGGTAATAATCATATTAGACTCCAACAGGTGATAATATTTTTTATGATAACCTGCTGATGCAATGCAACTTATACGCAACAATCTTATGCGATGACCATAAAGGAAATTACCTATCAGTTGGCAAAATTGTCTGAACAGAGATCCTTTCCAAGCATTACATATAGCTTCTTCTGAGTTTCTGTACATAATAGAAACAAATATGCAGAGGATAATAATCACTATCGAGTATAGTAACTTTTAGTTGGTCAAAGTCTTCGTATGGATTAATTGCTGAAATTACATTCTCACTAATACCAACATTTAAGAATAAGAAAAATAACAGAGAACTTGCAAATGTCTCTTAACAATCAGATGCCACCAATAATGAAAATTAACTATTGACCAGAGCTAATTTGGAAGAACACTAAAATTGTATGTTTGGAACTATTTATTGGCCCTGAGTCCATTTTTATGTGCTACATTGTTGTATTTGTAAGCTTTCTTTCTACAAATACTGAAACAAATAGGCAAAAGTTCATCAAAACCCATATATCTCTTCTCTAGGGATACTCTTCACCAACCTCAAGTAATCAAAACGAAATTTGAGTAAACAACTTGCAGAAAACACTGCACTTCTTTGACTTTTGAACCTTTTCAAACACCAAACACCAAAAACAATCAGAAGGGGAAGGTACCAATGTTAATTGGCAGATCCTTCTTTTAACCTGTGTTTTGTCCAATGCAGACTAAGATTTGTCCCGACGGGTCAAAGCCTATTGCTCTTATGAATTCATCAATTACTCTCGAAAGCGCTTTTGCATCCACTTTTAATCAAGTCGGTTCTAACTCGAAAGGAATGATGGCGTGTCCATTGCAATTAATAGATAGTGACCAAGTTGACATGTGCACAACCAAAGGAAATTGAGAAGTCTATAAACATGAGCACAAGAAAAATAAAGAACAATAATAATTGCAATAGGAAAGCATAACTGTCTATAGTTTTTTTTGTTATGCAATGAGCATACTGTAATGTTACACATTGACTATTTGTATTGTCCAAGAATAACGACAACACGCTATATAATGAGAGATGGATCAATATAGGACTGAATTGTAAATGTTTAATTGCGCAACATGTATGAAACTAAAATGGTTCATGGATCTAGTAATATCATGAATCAAGACCTAGGAAAAAAAGTATTGGGTCCTTTACTCATCCCTGACACAGCATAGCAATACAATGAAGAAAAGCACTGACGTACATAGAAGAATCTTTAGAATAATAGACTATCCTTGGCATACACAAGGTCCTCAGAATATGTTCAATCAGCTACACAAGCATATGTCGCTTACATTTATGGTTATGGAGATCATGGTGGTCTCCTCTACTTCAGCCTTTTTGGGATTAGTTCATGACAATGGAGATCATGGTGGTCGCCTCTTCTTCAGCCTTTTTGGGATCAGTTCATGGCAACCTTCATTAGGACTCCCTTGGATAAGGGCACAAAAGGATAGAAGAAGCCTAGGAAAAGTATACACAGGTAAATCTGAAGTGGGATCCAGCAGATATTGATCAATGACAAACCATTTGTTTCGAGGCTCCAATATGTGCTACTCCTAATGTTTGATTTGTCGATTGTTAATATCTATGGTTTTTTTTGTGACCGAAGAAGCTAAAGAGGAGAACGTTATTTACTAACATTACAGAATAGAGCAGTGATATTAATATACAAACACCAAGTCCACGACGAAGGTTCTAAATAGGCTGACTTTTTGCTATGTACAGAGAACCTGAGATGGTAAGGCAATGAAAGGTGTCTTTGAGTTGCAAAAGAGAACCTGAGATAGCAAGGCAAAGGCAGGTGTCTTTGAGTTGCAAAATGTAACCTTACGCGTCTGGCAAAAAAATGAAGCGGCCATGCCATCTTGTTCTGTGGCACCACTCCCTGCAGGAACATAATCAATCAAGAAAAAAAAAAGGGAAAGAATTTGTATCGATTAATCGTGGCCATCCTTTTATGATGGAAAAGCATAGTTTTAGCATAACTACAAAGTAAGGTTACCTATGGATAT